CACACACACACAAACACACACTAACACACTCACTCACACACACACACACAAACTCACACACACACAAACACACACTCTCACTCACTCACACACACACACACACACAAACACACACTCTCTCACAAACTCTCACACACACACAAACTCACACACACACACAAACTCACACTCTCTCACACACAAACACTCACACACACACAAACACACACTCTCACTCACAAACTCTCACACACACACAAACTCACACTCTCTCACACACAAACACTCACACACACACACACACAAACTCTCACACACACTCTCACACACACGTTGTTTAGCCGCTTTAGCTTTTGTAAGCACGAGTTCATCACACACACACTCGACTAACTGATCAAACCGTCACACAAATCAAGCCCAACAGATCAATCACGACCCTCTCATCAGCAAAAACACAAACATCACCTCTGTCGCTGTCAAATATGATCTTTATACCGCTCAAAAACACTGGAGGTGCGCTAGCAGAGCTAACGGCGGACATGACAAAGAGCAGTAGCGTTAGCATTAGCATTCAGACTGATTTACTCGTATAGACACATCTGAACAAAACAATAACAAGTGCCTCAATAATATACATGTTTGACACATTAGACATCAACAACACATCTGAGATATGCAGCTCAAAGAACCAAATCCAGCGAAACGCACAAAAACCATAGAGAATACAAACACAAAACATGTTTACACTACTTCAATAAACATAATGAAATAAATCACAGCCTTGGTTCATTACTGTGACATTTCAGGCATGCAAACCTGCCATGAGGTCAACGCAGTGCTAGTCCTGACGGCTAAAACTAGAGAAGAAGTACACATTCCTGCACTATATACATAAAATGTAATAAACATGCACACTCACCCCCCAGAGGATCCAGCCCGATCTAGATGCATCCCATAGATCCCCAAAACAACACAAATACCCCTCCAAGGAAATGTGCTGGGGTTGCACACACACTCATACACACTCATACACACACATAGACCCATGCACGCACGCGCACGCACACACACACACACACACACACACACAGAGAGAGAGATCCAAAGACAGGCCGGTTTCACTGGACTGCAGTTCAGATCCACTCCAGATGCGGGAAAAGCAGCTGGAAACACGACATTTCAGGTGTCCTCACTTCTCAACGCAATAGATCCCCAGCGATCAGACTCAGAGTGTGTGTGGCGCAGTGCTTCGCTTGGCTTCCACTAGAGCTCTGATGGCTCGTACGCTTGTGTGCATCTCTCAGCGCGAGACACTGAACCAATGCAACCCAGCACGAGCTCATTCACAGCCTGGACACACGACTCCACCTGGAGCGGATCGACCGAGAGAAACCCGGAGCTGGAGGCAGAGCTCTGGATTGAGATGCAGGGACAGAGTTTAAGACCACTTTACACACAGATGTACTTCATGCAGCAATGGTTATTTGTTTATGTAAGCTCAAAAAACAACATCAACACCATAAGTTTACTCATTAAACACACAAATGTTCTTCATACAGCACCATTTATTTATTTGTGTAGTCTTAAAAAAGACAATACCAACATATATAAGTTCACTCATCAAACACACAAAAATATGTCATGCAGCAATGTTTACTGGTATATTTATTTATTAAGAGATAAAAATAAATAAATAATAAAACACATATAAATGTCAGAAAATTGTAAAAAAAAAAAAAAAAATTTAAATAAGTATAAGTAATTCAAAAAATAATAAAAAATATAAATCTATATAACTATAATTGTATAATTATGCATTATGCATGTTTTATAAAATAATTTCAGCCTTACAAATTTATAATAATCACAAAGTCTTTGCAGTGGCGTACCTGTACAAATCACAAATAAATAAATGTCTGTGTGTGTGTGTGTGTGTGTGTGTGGTTAATTTCTCTCTAACGAAAGCACTTAAAAATCTCTCTTATATATGTTAATTTTATTTATTTATTCATTTTTATTTATTTGCTCCAGAAAATAAAATATCGATATAAAAATATAGGTAATTAAAAAATACATAAAATTTTTTTTTAAATATATATATATATATAATTATACATTAAATCATGTGTAGAGAGAGAGAGAGAGTATATTTTATACACAGTGTATACTTTCTCTGTAACAAGGCAATTAAAAATCTGAAGACATTTTTTATCTATCAATCTATTGGCACACAAGTATAGACAGTAAAATAATTAGCCTATGACATACATCATGTATGTACACTTTTAATTTCTTGTATTTTATTATTTTATATTTCCCTAGATTTTCAGTCACTTATGGCATGTTCCACAGCAGAAATCACTGACTAAGTCTGAAGAATACAGAGCATTAAACCAAAGCAACCGGTCCGGCTTATATCAGCGGCAGCGTTTTTATTACTCCCAACAGATCTCTTTCATCAATAACCTCACACTGCATAACTGTGAAGCCAGATGTCATATCTGATGTCTGTCATCCAGCAGCAGGAACATAGAAAGCAGGAGTACAAGCGTTATGATAAGCAGACGTGACACTGTGTTTGTCATAGAACACGGAATGATAATCTCCTGTGTTTACTCAGGGCTCCAAGGTGACGGGAAAATTGAGGCATTCCAAGCCAGTTGCCGAGGCAACCAGGATATGATAATGTTGTTCTGACAAGAGAGAGAGAGAGAGAGAGAGAGAGAGAGAGAGAGAGAGGAAGAATGGAGTGCTGTTGTGTTCAGGGACAGAGCAGCCGGGGGAAGTGAATTAATGGGATAATTTTCACACTGTGAGGGTGGCAATCATCCTGCTCCTTCATCTGCTCCTGGCCAACACATCCAAACCTTCATGAACACCAGCCGCCTCCATTTTACACGCATGGATCTCCATCCCTTAAAACAGGAGGGGAATATTACCTCATGACATGTGAATGATGATGTTGAAATTATCATAATTACATGATCTCAATATGGAGATTCTGGTAAAACACACAAAATGTGATAGTACATTTATATTTAGTCATTTAGCAGACGCTTTTATCCAAAGCGACTTACAAATGAGGACAATAAAAGCAGTCAAAACTAACAAAAGAGCAACAATATATAAGTGCAAATGACAAGTTTAGGTTAGCCTAACACAGTACACGTAGCAAGGTGTATTAATATATTTTTTTATATAATATATACATAGTAAACATATTGGTAAACACATGTACAGCAAAAATGGTGGTAATCTATTTATCTATCTGTCTGTCTATCTATCTATCTATCTATCTATTTGTCTATCTATCTATCTATCCAACATAGAGAGTTAAGCAAAAGGATAATTGTAACATATATTATGTATACACTTTTTATTTATTGTATATTTTATGTCGTAATTTAATATTACTTTATATTTCTTAGATTTTCAGTCACATACCACATACCAACAACTTATGTTGAGATCACAAGAAAATTAAGTCTTGATAACAAAAAGTACTTTTATGTTGAGATCACAAGGAAATTAAATTGTGATAACGAGAAAACTTTTATGTCAAAATCAATGAGAATTTATCAATTGAGATCAATTGAGAATTGCAAATTTTTTTATTGTGATAACTAAAAAAAAAACTTTTGTCAAGATCACGGAAATGAAGTCACAATCATGAGAAAAGTCGTGATCGTGAGAAAACATAATTGTTATGTTCGAAATCACAAAACGAATTAAATTGTGATCACGCAAAAACATCCTTTGCTATGTTAAGATTACGAGAAAACGTTTATGTTGAGATTCCTAAAAAATTGAATTGTGATAACTAAAAAAAAACAACTTTTGTTGAGATCACGGAAATGAAGTCACAATCATGAGAAATCTACTTTTGTTAAAGCTGCAGTCAGTAAGTTTTGCCATCTCTGTTTGAAAACCTGCAATTGCAGCTGTGTGAGGAATTATCTTCCTTGCGTGGGTTGTGAGTCGGCGCAGCTCCAGCGCGGATTAATCTAATGTACTGAAGAGTATGTGTGGCAGTCAGTCACCGCACTGGTGTGGATATTGTACTTTGCACTCACAGATTCTAGCCTACGTCTTGGAATATATGACTCAAATAAGCATTTTCACCAGATATTGTCATCTGAACAAGTAACAAGTCTGCCACTTTTGTTCTGACCAACTGAGGAAAAAAGCATTACAATAATTCGCGCTACCAATGGTGATTAAATCTAAAGATCGGTTAGCTCATATCACATCAAACTGTGCAAATTATTATTATTGTTATACTTTATTCTCAAATTGTTAATGTTAACAACATCAGCATTGCGTGACTATGAGTATAGTGTGTATTAGCGTGTAGATTTAAATTTCTGCACTGTCTAATCTAATTGTCATACCATTCGAATTTCATATTAAGAAATTCTTTTAACCCAAAAAGCAAATTATGCTCCCTTTGAACTGACTTAATCCCAGGCTATCTGTAATCAGAAGCACATTTATAACTGGAATATAATTTAATTTCATTCACATGTCTGATTCACAACTCCGAAAGACATTGTCTTAGATGAGAGGGTCTGTGTTACTATTGGAGAAAGCATAACGGCTAACTTGGATAACGTGTGCTGTAATAACCAATCACATTACAGCCTTGCCTCACTGATGCTTTGTCCAAATACCCACACTTAACCACTTGACTACTTATATGACGTATTTCTTATATTTGCCCCAAGTGTCCAAGTGAGGATGAAGACCACAAGTATGCGTCGAACTTTTCATTACTTGATGGGACAAACTTATAGTGTTGAAAAAATGCAAGTGTTTACATAGCTTTATTTTTATTTTAAATACTTAGCATTTTAAAATCAACTTATAAAAGTCTGTTCAGTATTCCCTATAACATGACAATTTAGTTGGTGCTTCTAATTAAGTGATAAAAAGCGGTTGCAAATGTTGTACAAAATAAATATCACCACTACTCATCATTGCACCAATAAAACGTGCAACACTTTGTTTTTCTACCAAATTATATCATATCTAATTAGCCTATTGTATTAATATTTAACTTACATTGGAAAGGTTTCCGTGACCTCTCGCGATATCTCGGCAAAAAGTCTCACGATTTATTTCTAGAACATGATGCATGATGGGATACACTAAGCCTTGTATAGCACTCCGGAGAGGTATTCGAGATAGTGTGGATTTAGTGTGCTTTAAGGGCACTGCGCTTTAGCGTTTTGAAGACTTTAGGACAGTCTTGTGCACTTACTTCCTGTCGTGAGCATGTGCTCTCAAGTGGCCAAGACTGCAAGTGTGGGTATTTGGACAAGGGTAGAATTTCAGTCCAGCGGCGATTCATTTTAGGGGGCTCATATACATATACATATATATATATATATATATATATATAATAAAACATTTTTGACTAATAGTATATACTGATATACTAAACTTATTGTAGTATTCCACTGTATTGCATAGATAGGTATAACATAACCTGAATAAGCCAAATACAAGTCTTCATGATCTCTCTCTCTCACACACACACACACACCTGTTTACTGTACAAACACACAATTTTACTGTTTGCATTTCTAGTACAACCGTCTTTCCTTAACTCAAGTATGCAAACCTCTTTGCCACATGCACTGGAATATGTATTACATTGAATGTTACATTTTCAAATGAAAATAGCAACATGATCCTTTTATAAAGTATGCGTTCATATGTGCTTCATTTCAAACAGCTGTGGTGTGATAAGGAGTGAATGCAGAGAAACCTTAGGCTACAGAAGATGAGGAACCCGATTGCTCCCCCATGATATTGTGTAAACTAGGTATGACAAAGAACTGCACAGGTGCAGATATTATAACAATCTATCGATAAACACACCTTGTCCTCTGTTTAAAATTAACCATGGTTTTACTACAAATAAAACAAAAAAACATGGTTATAGTTAAACCAAAAAATAGCAACATGATCCTTTTATAAAGTATGCGTTCATATGTGCTTCATTTCAAACAGCTGTGGTGTGATAAGGAGTGAATGCAGTGAAACCTTAGGCTACAGAAGATGAGGAACCCGATTGCTCCCCCATGATATTGTGTAAACTAGGTATGACAAAGAACTGCACAGGTGCAGATATTATAACAATCTATCGATAAACACACCTTGTCCTCTGTTTAAAATTAACCATGGTTTTACTACAAATAAAACAAAAAAACATGGTTATAGTTAAACCATAGTAACCACAAATTAACTATGGTTTTGCAACACCAACCATAGTTTAACCATAGTATTTGTAGTAAAA